AGTGGGGAAAAAACAAAAGGAGATTTCCTGCAACAACCGGTTCTCCGAACTGCTTAGAAAGTTAACAACTGGTTCTCCCGGATAGGTGTGAACCGGCTGAATCCCACCACTGCTACCCAGGTTCTGTGGCTCCCCCTCAGGGGTGGATTCTGGCTTCTGTTATTGCCGATTCACTCAGGGACACGCAGAAGTTAAAAAAAATGCTTCTGTGCATGCGCAGAAGCAAAAAAACAAGATGGCAGTGCTTACGGCACCGCTGAGAGAACCGGTTTGGGTGCGTGACTGGCCGAGTTACTACCTACTTGGCCAAACCGGGCCACACCATTAAGAACCCACCTCTGCTCCCCCTGTTTTCTATGGGAAATAAGTATCTCCCTCCCTCCATCCCTCCCTCTCCCTCCCTCTCATCTCTCTTTCCTCCTCTCTGTCTATCTCCCTCTCTCTCATCTCTTTCTATCTCTCATCTTTCTCTTTTTTCTTTATCTCCGTCTCCCCCTCATCTTTCTCTTTCTCTCATCTCTGTCTTTTTCACTATCTCCTTCTCTATCCCCCACTCTCCCTCTCATCCTCCCTCTTCTCTGTCTCCCCCTCCCCTCCCGCCCCCAGCCCAACCCGCGGACAACTACAATGCTGATCTGGCCCACAAAGAAATCCAGTTTGACACGCCTGCTTTTAGGGAGAGACTACAGCTTCAGGGTGTAGATGTCATAATTACACCCATTTGTCTGACCCCGATGTCCCCAATAATAAACACCGACCCATGTTCCCAAAATACAAACCATCTTTATTACTCGTTAATAATCTCATGTAACCTGAAGCGCAGTTGCACGTGGAGGCACCCATGGAGCAGAAGGAATGTGAAACTGAGGCTTTGTCTTCCAGGAATCCGGGACTTTTCCTAAATTATGTTGACTGGGAGAATTAATTGTGGTCTACTCACAAGTATAACCTTGAATTGGATATAGCCTTGTGGGAATTGGAGTGAATGCAAGGAGACGAACAGGCTGGGCCCGAGGGAGGAGTCAAAGGCATCATCGGTCTTGAGTCTCTTCGTGCCCACAAGAGATCTGAGTCCAGTTCACCTTGAATTCCCTTGACTTTTTTCTGCCGCCAATTTGCTTTGACTGTTAGTAGCTCAGATTCTTGTAGAGAGCTTCAGCTTGCAAGAAATCCTTATACAGATAGTCCTCAACTTACGACCACAATTGAGCCCAACGTTTATGTCCCCAAGGGAGACATTTGTGAAGTGAGTTTTGCCCCATTTTACGACTTTTCTTGCCTCACTCGTTAAGCGAATCACTGCAGCGGTTAAGTTAGTAGACTGGCGGTTCAGGGATCTGATTTGCCCCTTGACTTGGCTTGTCAGAAGGTCTCGCAAAAGGGATCACGTGACACACACACACACACACACACACACACACACACACACACACACACACACCAGGGACGCTGCACTTGTCATAAACGTGAGTCAGTTGTCAAGCGTCCGGATTTGGATCATGTGACCAGGGGGATACTACAGTGTGAAAAATGGTCTTTTTTTCAGTGTTGTAACTTCAAACGGTCACGAAGCAAACCGTTGTAAGTCGAGGACTACATTCATTTGGACTGCCTGGACTTCTTGGTTCCGGGGCTTCACAGCTTCTTCACTTAAGCAAGGGATGGTTTTCCAAAGGCCTGGAGTTCCAAAGAAGGGTTTGAACTGAGCCCGACCCACCCAAACGACAGAAGAAAACTACCCCAAATTACCTCTTCGCTTCCATCTGGTGCACAACTTTAATTTTAATTAGAGTGCAGCAGGATGAAGAAAAATCCATAGGTGAATCAGTTAGGAGGGAAGCAGTGAAATTCATAGCTTTCAAAAGCATTCCAGTAGCATCTTGGCTGATATTCTGAAATAAAACGTTAAATGTTGCTCAACTATTCCAGTGAAAAGTTTTAACGATTATCTAAATATATGAAAATGGCTGTGTTTGTGTGTGTGTGCGTGCGTGTGTGTGTGTGTGTGTTCCAGTATAACTCTGGAACGCCTCGAGCAATTTCAATCAAATTTGATACACAGATGACTTACTCTCTGGAAAAAAAATACTGTGGTGGTAAGACACCCCTAACACCCTTCTGGGTGTGTGTTCTGTTAAGATACAGCCTGTTGTGCGTTAAAATGACTTCTACTGTACAGCACAGTGAAGTTGCCATGGTAACGGCTTCACAGTACTCCACCAGGGGGCTCCCTCTTATAAGGGAGAAAAACCAACATTAGAAGTTACGTTTGGGCCGGACATTTTCCTCCTATAAATAAATACCCGGTTATCAGATAGTTAATAACATTAACAGGACAGAGCATTCCTGTAAATGGCTTGAAAGAATCTGCGTTGTTTAGTTTACAAAAGAGAAAGTGTAGATAATAACTTGTGAACGTTTTGACAGATTTGAAGTCTCTTTCTTCTTCTTCCAAAGGAGCAACTCTGGCAAGTAAGGTCGTAAAACAGGGCAAAACTCACTTAACAACCATCTTGCTTAGCAGCAGAAATTTGGGACTCAGTCGTGGTCGTGAGTAATCTCACACCCCGGAATCAAAAACCAAGTAACAATCCTCCAACGTATTCCCAGACTGAACAAAGAAGTCTATTCCCATTAGTGTCTGCTACCCTGCAGCTTCCTTTCTGAACTGAAGAAAAACTTACCCCCTTTGCCTTACGGCTGCTTCCCCCACTGGTTGACGGTATTTTGAATATGCCATTTTTGACCTGTGCAAACTTGCATAACTAGAGTATAATAGGGGGATCCGTTAAGCTTCGCGAGTTCAAGACACCGTTTCGTCTTCCTGTTGGTTACAGATGATCCCTAGAATTAAAAAAAAAAGGTGGTATTACTTTTAGAAAATAGGCAGATGATTTGAATTCGGTACCTGTAACTATTTATTACTAGCTGATAACCGGTCACATAGGCGGTAAGCCTCTCCCATCCAGTCACGTGGGCAGCAAGCCACTCCCACAAAGGAGGCCATACCCACAGAGTAGGTTCGAACAATTTTTGAAACTCACCACTGGTCAGAACACACTGGTGGAGAAAAGATATGCTTTTACTAAGGTCAAGTGGACCTTGAGCCAGTCAGGATCGAACTGATGGCAGTCGACAGAATTAGCCTGCAGTACCTCACTCGAATCACTGTGCCCTCAGGACTCCATAAATTAAAACCTTACTTGCATGAAATCCCAGTGCATGTTGAGGCCTTTTCTCTGGGCGTCGTCACATTGCTCGATGACTGGCAGGTTTCCTTCTCCGGGGTCGGTCAAGCATCTGTCAACCGTGTTGCGCCGAGATCGTAAACCTCCCACAAAGAATTCTCCAGTGCTGTGATAGAACATGTGCTGGAAATACAGACAGTCGAAACAACCATTCGTTTCATGACAGTTCCAAGTCTCCTGCTGGATCAGGGGGTTGGACTAGAAGGCCTCCAAGGTCCCTTGAAACTGTTCTGAGCTAGACTTCACCAAATCACGAAACAGACTCCTTGTCCCCCCCAAAAAAACCTCCTTTTATTTGGCTAATGTGAATTCCTAGCATTCACATCCAGCAAAGTCCCGGTAAACAGTCTTTCAAAGGTGTATTTACAACCACAGACCGTATCAGGCTTGGAGACCTGCAGGCTGATATCTTCCAAACGCAACGCTGTGCAAGAAAATACTTGGCAAGGAGTCTCTGAGAGTCACGAACAAATCTTCACACTAATTAAACGAACACCCAGACTGTTCTGACCTAGGCTTCCCAAGATCATGAAGCCGACTCCTCGTCCCGATAAAACCTCTTTTATTTAGGTTAAAGGGGATTCCCCTCCAGCAAAGTCCGCCTTTCATGAACCGCCTTTCATGAGATTTCCCAATTACAAGCCTTTATCAGGCTTGGAGAGCTGCCAGGCCGACATCTTCCAAACGCCACTCTGTAGCAGCAATTACTTGGCAAGAAATCAGGAACAGATCTTCACCCTAATGAATTGAACTAATGGTCTCCTGCAAACTCCACTCCCCTTTCGCTCCTCTTTATTCCCTACGGGAGGGGCCATTCACCGACCACCTATGCCTTAACTCCCGAGTCGGCCCTTGTTCCTTAGCTGTTCCCTTCTACTTGCAGCTCTGTGCATGCGCACATCGGGAATAGGCTCCAGATGTTCTTCTGCCCCACTGATGTCCAACTCCGAAGGCAGCTGATAACTGTTGGACGGCCCTGGCCCCATCTCTGCTTCCAATGCATTGGCATCTTCCCCAGACTTCAGGACTGGCCCATGTTCCTCCCCAACCTCTTGAGTCTGCCACCAGTTTTGGCATTGCCAGAAAGAGTGTGTTGCCAACGTACCTGTGGGCTATATCCATGGCAGACGTACAATATTGGAGTGTTCCCAGGAACTGGTCCTTGATCTATGCAATTTTCCTCACTTAGCTTATTTTTCATCTACAGGGTAAGGAAGAGCGAAGATTTTTAATTTACAATCCCAACTCAGTGAGCATGCAACTGAGGATCAATAAAACAGAGGAGAACATAATACAGGTAATTCTCAACTTATAACAGTTCATTTAGCGACAGTTCAAGGTGACAACAGCGTTACAACAAAAGTTACAAAGGTTATGCTGAAAAATGTGACTTATGATCCTTTTTCACAGTTAAGGCAGTGGTTAGAATGCAGTATTGCAGGCTAACTCTGCCGACTGCCAGCAGTTTGATCCTGACCGGCTCAATTTGACTCATCCTTTCACCCTTCCGAAACCGGTAAAATGAGGACCCAGATTGTTAGTGGCAATATGCCAACTCTGTAAACAGCTTAGAGAGGACTATAAAGCACTGTGAAGCGGCATATAAGTCTTAGTGCTATTGCTACTTAGGCTTGTAAATTGCCCCATAGTGTTTTACAAGCTAGAAGCATTATTTGCATATTGTCCCCAACAATCTGGGTCCTCCATTTTACCGACTTCAAAAGGATAGAAAGCTGAGTCAACCTTGAGTGGGTCAGGATCGAACTTCAGGCTGTGAGCAAAGTTCGCCTGCAAATACTGCACTTCGACCGCTGCACCACCATTTAAAAATATTTATATTTAAATATATGAAAAAGCAAGCAAGTCAGCTAATTGGGCAGACCCATTAGAAAAACTCTGTGTGTGTGTGTGTGTGTGTGTGTGTGCGCACGTGCGCACATGCGCACTTCAGATAAAGCGATATGCTGTTTAACTAAAAAGCAAACAATATATCATCTTACCAGTTTTTACTTACTGTTCCATAGCCTACAATGTTAACCTGGAGGACCAAGTTAGGATAGACATTTTTGATATACCAATCAAAGCTTTTGCAGTTCAGTTGCTTCCTTAGTTCTTTTCTAGAAGAAACGTCTCCGTAATCTATCCCAGAATTCTGGAAAAGGAGGACATCGGTTTCAAAGAGGTGGCAAATACGCAATTCAGCTGATTCAATTTAGAGGCATTTCAATTTACACTTAGAGAAGTTGGAAAGAAAAGGTAAGGGACTTTCTGCTGTCCCATTCGGACCCGGAAGGAGGAGTATTAGATAGTTTCACCTCCTCAAGTTGCTTATAAAAGTAATAAAAGCGGGAATTAAATTAAATGAACTTATTAAAAATTTAAATTAAATTAAATTAAAATAAAATAATTAAATTAAATAAAATAATTAAATTAAATAATTAAATTAAATTAAATTAAATTTAAATAATTAAATTAAATTAAATTAAATTTAAATAATTAAATTAAACTAAATTAAATAAAATAATTAAATTGGTTTAAATTAAATTAAATAAAAATAATTAAATTTAAATTATTAAATTAAACTAAATAATTAAATTAAATTATTAAATTAAATTTAAATTATTAAATTAAACTAAATAATTAAATTAAATAATTAAATTAAATAATTAAATTAAATTATTAAATTAAATTATTAAATTAAATTATTAAATTAAATTATTAAATTAGTTTAAATTAAATTAGNTGAATATTCAAAAGTGCATCACAAATACCAATGACTGATGCCAATGGTTGCTACGGGTTGCTGCCAGGGTCCTAAGTATCAACCAAGTACACTACTACTACTACTACTACTACTACTACTACTACTATTACTACTACTACTACTACTACTACTACTACTACATACTTTATTCACTAAACTCCGTACAATAAAGGGGCAAAGCTCCCAGTGAAGTTTTGGATTACAAAAAGTGGGACTAAATGGACCATTGCGAGGAAATAAGGAATGCCTCTGATGGGCCCAAACCCAACTTAATCTTTGCGAGCTTTTGAGGTTGCTTGAAACTTTCTGTCGTAGGTGAGACCAATCTGCCGCTCAATTGTATTGTTAGAATCCTGTTGGCCCCAAAACTGCCTTTGCATAACTACTCGGTCTTCCTGTTTATATCCTCCATCAGTCTAGTCCAGGGGTCAGCAAACGTAAACACTCAAAGAGCCATTTGGACCCGTTTCCTACAGAAAAGAAAACACCGGAAGCCACAAAGCCCCCTGTTCAATTCTTCTCCTGGCGCACTGTGCTTCTCTCCCCCACCCACCGGAAGCTCCTCTCAAAATTGTGGTGCCGACTGGTGACAGAGCCGCAGCAGAGGGAGGAAGGAGCCACATGCGGCTCCAGAGCCGCAGTTTGATAGGCAAAGGGTGTCAAATTCAAGGCCAGCAGGCCGGATGTGGCCTGCGGGGTGCTTAGATCCGGCCCGTGGGACTGCCCTGGAAACCCGAGGTCCAGCCCACGGTGCCTCTGCCACTGGACAATGCCGGCTTGCGACCGCTCGGGGGAGGGCCTTCTCTGTAGCTGCTCCGGCCCTGTGGAACGATCTACCCATAGAGATCTGGACCCTTCCCACTCTCTCGGCCTTCTGAAAAGCCACTAAAACCTGGCTGTTGACCACACGAACGAGGTCCGGCCCCACCAAGATTGAGTGTATGGTGCGTTGCTTTTAAAATTGTTTTCCTCTCTTTCTATTTTAACTTTTTATCTTTTAGTCTTGTTTTTGTAAGCCGCCCGGAGTCCTACGGGATTGGGCGGCATATAAATTTATTAAATTACAATTACAGTTACATTTTCACTGGCAGAAGCACCGCGGGCTGAAAACAGGGCCCAGGAGTGCTTGGGCCACCAAAGGTGCCCCTGACACAAATGATATCATGCTGGCCACGCCCCCTGGCCACGCCCCCATCCCCCGAGGTCAAACACAACCCTGATGCGGCCCTCAATGAAATCGAGTTTGACACCCCTGGCGTAGCCACTCTCTGCCTCTGGCAAAATGAATCGGGCTCTTTTAATAAAATATTTCTCTTGCTTGCTTTATTTATATATTATATAAAAGTTGCTCACTGACTGCTGATTTTTGTTGCTGGGGTTTTGAGGTGTTTTTTACGCAGTCTTTTTAAAGGACGGATGTATCTTTTGAGTCCTGCCAAAATTAACTTAGATGGCAGTAAAATTCAAGTTATCTGTGAATCCTTTCTGCCCTCTAGTGGCCATCTGAGGTTTTGCAGCTCAAATCTGACTGACTACTCTTCGGCTCTCATCAAAATCCCTGTGATTTTATATCTATATAAACTGTGTCACTCATGTTAACCGGTTAGATAAAGGACAAGCATTTGCAGAACTTCCCACACCTGGTTACAGGTGTAACTTAGTGAGATGGACGAATGGAGCCTATATGGATTGTGAAAAAGCAGGATAGATAGTTGTCAGCCTCTGTTTTGCTGCTTGCTTTTCGGCTGCCATTGAAACGGGGAGGGGGGGGGCATGGTATTTGGGTGGGGAATTGTTTAATGCTGGAGTTGTTCTCACCATCTACTGCGCATGTTGCAGATAGAGGATTTGCCGCCAAGGCCAACTGTCCGGCATACCAACCTTATGATGATTTTTGAAGATGTCTCCCACATGACACCTGTGGGGTGTTTGGATTGGACCAGTGGTGGGTTTCAAAAATTGTTCGAACCTACTCTGTGGGTGTGGCCTTCTTTGTGGGAGTGGCTTGCCGCCCATGTGACCGGATGGGAGTGGCTTGCTGCCCATGTGACCGGATGGGAGTGGCTTGCTGCCCATGTGACCGGTTATGAAGATGCCGACGACACTTGTCAGAACCACCTTAAATTAACTCACACACAGCACTGGCATGCATAAGAATATATATAAGAAAATATATATTAAAAAAACAATAAACTTGTTTTTTCAAAGGCATCTTTGGTTTGTGTTAAAACAACTTCAACACACGGAATGTTCTGATTGCACCACAAACGCA